TGTCGTTGTTTTCTCGATCGGAGTGTATTGAGACTATCAGATTTGAAAAATGTAGACTTTGTAATGGAGTCTACTATCGGAGTTGAAAAATGCAAACACTGTAGTGGCGATACACTCCGAGACCAACAAATTGAAGTGCAAAAAAGTTAACCACGTCAATCGGCAATTTTATTTCTTACTATTAGTATGCCAAACCACTATCATCGACAAAAATATATAAGGTCATTGGATTTCGTTATAATTCGTAGGTCGATATGAACAAAATTTATTATTTCAGCAATTTGATTTCAAAAGTAATTTATTCTTCCAATAATAAGAATATAAAGCATATATATATATTGTACATCAACAAAGGAGTTTTATTTTAAAAACTTCCATAACTTCAATCATAGTGCACGATTCAGGATGTAGTGCAAATGAGTTTGTACATACTTTAATTTCTATTCATGTATAACAGTTGTATATATATTTTCATATACATCAATTACACCACATAACAAGTCCCTATTATTTGAATATTATATTAATAAATCAAAGTTGTATGCACATATTGATGCACTTGAATATTATATGTATATAGTGCACAAGAATCAAGATAACTAATCTCATGCCCAATTACAAATCTGTACAAAGTTTTTTGTTCTAACAACAAACTTTTTGAAAAACTCCGATTAAATTCAATTAAGTGAAATTATACTGTAATAAATGATTTATTTATATTCAAACGTGTTAGAGACATGCTATTACTGACTTTGTATTGGATTGACGATGAACACCGCATACACAAATCAGTGTCTCCAATATATATAGCCAATTAATTCGGTAGCAGTCAGATTCATAAATTATCATATCAATCTTATCTTTCTTTTTTCTTTTTTTTCTTCTTTTTTTTTTTTTTATTTAAGAAAAAGATTAGTGCTAACCATAGATCACCTAACAATTGTTGGATTTTCATTTAATAATTAATATGTATAAACCAAGATTATTGCAATAAATTAAATAGGGAACTTAACAATCATACCTGATGGCAGATTAAATTCTAGAATTCCTTAGCCCTTTTTGGAAAGGGGTCTTTGGAATTCCTTGGCTTGTTTAGGAATCTTGGAGTTGAAGAATGCAAAAACTGTTATGAACAACAAAGTGATACACTCTGCCCAGCCCAAATTGGAGTGTGATCTCAAGCTATTTTAGGATCATATTTTGCCCCCACCACTATTGTGGTTGTTTGATGCGTGCATTATTCATGTGTTTGTGTCAAAGTGAACATCAACTATTGAAGTGAATAATAATTTCGCCATTAAAGATTTTAGAGATGGAGTAAAAAGACTGGATCATGCATGAATTATACTTTCTTCAGGAAACTTATCGTTCCCACAGACGGCGCCAACTGTTGATGAATAAATGACCCGATCCCACGTCGTTTCGTGCAACAAAGAGAGATGATGACTGTTGTCGACACTTGTATCAAGTCAGTGATGGAACCATCGAAATTTAATAGGGGTGCACAAAAGAACCGTGGAACTGGAACCGTAAGAATTAGAACCGAATTTTCGGTTCTTTCGGTTCCGGTTCTAGTTCTTAAAACAAGGAACCGTTTAGATTCGGTTCCGGTTCTCACGGTTCCGGTTCTGGTTCTGGGTCCTAAAATAAGGAACTATTTAGATTCAGTTCGATTCCGGTTCCATCTCACTGTTCCAGTTCCGGAACCGAACCGTAATATATATATATATATATATATATATATATATATATATATATATATATATATAATTCTAGTTGTGGGCTGTGGGCGACTAGGCCGTGTCTAGCCTGTAAGTTTCAAAGTGACCACATCCACTGATCCACATATTTATTTCAGAATTCAGATTAAAATCACAAATGACAAAAGTCTTGTAACTCTCAAAACCTAAACCTAAGTTTTAGGTTCACCACTTTACCAAACCTTTCAAACTCACTAGGCGGTTCCTCTCAGCCTTGCATTTCCAGTTTCCTATCCTCTCAGCCTCCGGCCCTCTCCTTTCCTCTCAGCCTCTCGTCCCTCTCACTGAGTCACTGGACTCGCTACTCTCGATTCTCCTCTCAGCCTTTGATTTATTGGATTCAGTCGGATTGTTCAGATCGGTCTCTGTCTCAACCTCTCCTTTCAGTCTCTGATTTAATTAAGTCAATTTTAGGAGGGTTTTTTTGTCGATTTTGCGAAGGAAGACTCGATCCGGTAAAATGAGGTCCGGAACGCGGAGAGAGTGTTTGAGAAAATCGGTGACAACATCGACGTTTGTGACCGATGATCGACGACTGGAGTCGATCGGAGATGGAGGTGGTGCTCGAAAATCGACAACATTTTCTAGCAAGAGTTGAGGCGAAATTACTTGGCTGTCTCAGCCTCTGATTCAATCACTTCTACTCAAATCTTCGTCTCTCCTCTCAGCCTTTCCTTCCGGTCTCAGTTTGGTCAATGGGTCCACAGCTCACGGTTCCGGTTCCGGTTCCATTTTTTAGGAACCGTTTAGATTGGTTCCAGTTCCAACAGGATTCGTACCGAATCGAACCGTGTGCACCCCTAAAATTTAAGTAGGAAATATATTATTTTATACTTGCGTACCTCCTTGGTTTGACAGAACTATACTCTTATAGCATGTAGACGTCATTTGTTAAGAGTTGTTAAGATCAAGGAGATTTTCTAGGAAGTTAATATATCCTTTTGAATTTGAACTTTTGTTATCACTGTTTAAACCTAATCAACCCTTTTTATCCATATTGTTAAAATACCCTAATTCAATCTATCTTTATCACTTCCAATACTACTTATATATATATATTATTACTATTATTATTATTTTTTGGGTGGGGGTTCACAAAATCCTTATTCTTTTGATTTTATTGTTTTAATCATTAAGGCTTTTAAGCATACAACACAGAAAGAAAAATAAAATAAAAAATACCACTATTAGCATCTAAGGAATTTAATGGCCCATTAAGTTTGATAGTACTTCAAAGCTTCCCATGGTAACAATATCAAATACAAAGTAGAGAAAGAGCCGAGAGAGGCTAGAAGCAAGTGAAAAATAAGGGTTAACGAAAAAACGGTGGGGACCAAAAAGTTTTATTGGGGAGAGATGAGGAGACAAAAAGATCTTATCATATTTGAAAGGATAGTTATGGTATTAAAAAAAAAAATAAATAAAAAAAAAATAAAAATTAAAAAAACTTATTTATTTATAAAGTTGGGGTTAAACGTTTCATTTCTTTTACGCTTCGTTTAGCGTGCATGAATGGAATGTTTTATTTCTTTTACGTTGCGTTTAGCGTGCAGGAATAGAATAAAACATCTATACCAACCATTCTTTTGTTCGATATGCAATTTAAAGTGAGAATGACCATTCCATTAGAATGAAAATCCATTCCACAACTAAACTTATGAAATGACCATTCCATTCCCAAGTAATTTTTTTTATAAAATCAAGTTTCCAAAAAACTCTCATATTTTAAGTCTAAAAACACCACCACTACTACCACCACTTTCCACCATAACCACCACTATCTTTCACCACCGCCACCTCTATTGCCTTTCACCATTGCCACCTCTATCATTATTGTTGCCTTCAGCCACCACACCACTGCTGCCTATAATGCCTTCCACCACTGTCACCACCACCAATTTCCACCACTACCATTACCACCTTCAACCACTGCAACCTCCATTGCCTTCCACTACTCTCATTGCCACTACCACCGTCACCCTCACCGCTGCCGCACTCCGCCACCACCACTACCACATTGTCGTCACCTCCACCGAATTCCGCCATTGTCGTCACCTTCACTACCTTTCACCACCACCACTACCACACCATTGCTACCACCACTGCCTTTCACATCTCTTACGCCACTGACGCCTTCCATTACTAGCACCACTGCCTTCCATCAACACCTAGGGGTGTACAAAAAAAAAAATCGTGAAACCAAACTGAACTAAAATCGGTGCTTATCAAAAGAATTATGTGAAAGTGATCTAAAAAAGATTCAAACTCTGGACCCTCAAAAAATAAAGTGATAGCATGTTGTTAGCTGTCTCCTTGGGGTTAAATAAAGGAAGGAATTATGATAGTCGACGCAAGAATGGCTATGCTGCCGAAGTGTACGAGTAAATGCAATGAAGGGTATTTTTGTAGTTTGACAATCTCCTCTTTCAAACCAACTCTTTTCTTTTTCTTTTTCCCAAAAATTCAAACAAATTATATAAATGTAGTAAATATTTACATTGGGGATGGGCACACAGAGTAAAGTCCCAAAGCCAAAGGCCAACAAAAGTAGGGAAATTAAAGCCCCAATAGGCCACAAAACAGTCTATAAAATTAAAAATACAGAGCCCAAAATGATGAGGCCCAATCTCTGTCACTAAAGGGTGAACCGCAAAGTAATCCATCTATTTTCTTGCTAAACAAGAAGAAAACTTTCATCATCATCGTACAAGGAAGTAAAAATATAAGAAAATCCAAAATTCTATATGGTATCTATTTTCTGTCTACGTGTCTGTGAATTTTTTTAAATATATATATATATATATATATTTATATCGATTCAATAATCTGATTGAATCGAGATAAATATTTTATTTTATTTTATAAAATATCTAAAGGAATGATCAAACAAAGATTGGGAAAACATATAAGAATGGACCATAAAAAAAATTAAGTGTGGGCAAAAAAGGAGAAGAAAAATTAGAGTTTTGACTATTTGATAAAAAAAATAAATAAATAAAACATGAGATAAAAAATAAAAATAAAAGAGAGAAAGAAATAAAAAAAGAAAAATGAGGAAAAATCATTTTAATAATATGAAAATATTATATATGCATAATGTGTAAACATTATATTTTGATGAAATTATTATTAAATCAGATTAATAATTATATATACACACACACATATATTCTCCCTTGTTGGCAAAAGAAAAAGGAATGCAAGTAAAGAAGGGGATATAAAGTAAAAGAGAATTTTATTTTTACTATATATCGGAAACCCAAAATTTCGAGGATCGAAGGGTTGGTTATACAGTAGCAATTTTTAACAAAGAAAACATAGACATAGGTCGGTGATATAAAATCAATATCGGAAGAGGAAGAGGAAGAGGGAGCGCAATGAAGGGTCCAACAGAGTCAAAATTCTTGCAAGAACTGGTTTTGTACGCCGCTAGCGCCGCCTTGAGCTGCCTGGTGTTGTTCGCCGGTCTTCGACACCTGGACCCCAACCGCGAGGCCTCCAAGAAAGCTCTTGAGCACAAGAAGGAAATCTCCAAGCGTTTGGGTCGACCACTCATCCAGACCAATCCCTACGAGGTACTAGCTTTCATCTAGTCTATTTCTCCAATCAATCGCTTTTATCTCCTAAATCTGAATCAATCAATCTTTTTGTTCACTTCTTAAACCCCCAATTGATGTTTTGTTTTAAATTCTCACTGTTAAAAACAAAAATCTGTTATTTTATTCCCATCTGTTTGATGTTATTGTATGGTCTCTGCGATGGATGTTGTTTTCCCTACATGGGTATTTTGGATTAGTGTCAACTGCATAAACCCTTTGTTTGTTTTGTGGTAAAACAATTTCTGGGAAATTTTCAGCGGCCAAGTAGCTAGCGATTTGCACATATGCAATTGGAACTATGATCAAACAATAAACATTTTTTTATGAATGCATACACACACAGTGGTATACTTACATCACTCAATTGTTATGCACACAAAGTTATGGTTTTTACTTATTACAAGGTTTGAGTTTGAATGATATACAGTCCTCTGAACATGTGATTGAATGTACACAGTTGTATACTTGTATTTCTCACTTGTTATGCACAAAAGGTTATGTTTTTTTTTTTTTTTTTTAAAAAAAAAAAAATTATTCTGTTTTTATAAGGTTTGAAGTTGAATGGTATGCAGTCCTTTGGATGTGTTAGCATGTTATTGAGGTTGAATTTGATACCAGCTCATTCAAGTGATTCTAGGCTTCAAATGATGCAGTTATAGGGTTTATTTCTGTTTGAGCATCGGTATCTAAATTGCAGTTAAACCTTCAGTCTAATGAAGGGCTGTAGGTGCTTTTCATTTAATAATCTGATCATTGATTTAAGTGACAATTGGTGCGCTTTTTATACGTCGTTTTACATGGAGAATTTATTCCCTTTTACATGAAAGGTTCAGAATTTTACTTTCTATACTAAAGTTTGGGAATATAATGCAATAAAATGTCAAATAGATAGTTGTTGTTTGCTGAACTGGAGCTGTGTCCTTTAATGACCAACAGGATGTTATAGCTTGTGATGTCATAAATCCAAGCCACATTGATGTGGAATTTGACTCTATTGGAGGACTGGAAACCATTAAGCAAGCATTATATGAATTGGTAATTCTTCCGCTACGAAGGCCTGAGCTATTTTCACATGGGAAGCTTCTCAGTCCCCAAAAAGGGGTGTTGTTATATGGACCACCCGGCACAGGAAAGACCATGCTTGCTAAAGCTATTGCGAAAGAGTCTGGAGCTGTTTTCATTAATTTGAGGGTATCAAACCTAATGAGCAAATGGTTTGGTGATGCACAAAAACTTGGTCAGTATAGATCGTACTTACAGTTTTGGTCTTGGATTGAAGTTATCTCTTTAAATTGTTTTGTCTTTTAAATTATGTGCTTCGACTGATATGGGCTTCAGGACTTGAATTTTGTGCTTTTGTCATTCTTTCAGTTAATTTTTGTCACCAATCAGTGCGTGCGCGTGTATATATATATGTCTATTTATAATACAATTTACAACTCTAAATAATGATTCAGTTCATAATATTCTTGTTTCATGCAGATTCTTTTTAATTACATAACATCATAGTGTTTACAATAACCTTTGCAGCTTAGGCTGATTTGATCGTTGATATTTGATTTCCATGTGACAAATTAGCCAACAAAAGCTGAAACTAATTATACAAGTATTTTAATAATAATAGAAACTTAAAAAGTATGGTTTTTGAAAAATGTTAATAACTTCAATGATATGGGTTACTTTATAATGTTATACAATGAAGGGCATTAATCATTTAATAATGATATGGACTATTTTATTATCTTATACAAAGTGTGGCTGATGTGTGTTTTCTTCAATGATAAACCACTCGCAATAGTACGAATCCTTGCAGGATAGGGCTATATTGAGGGTGTCGAACCTTAAGGACTGCGGCAGTTATGCTGTCAAGATACTAGGATTATTTCTAATTTAATTCGAAAGAGAAGTTTTAAATTTTAATTTAACTAATTATTTAAATCTAACTTAAACTAAGTAATTGGAGAGATCAAGAGATAGAGAGTCTAAGGTATTGACTTCACCACTAATCCGCCCTCCAATGGTAAATTAGACATATTATTAGGATATTTTGTATGATCTGAAGATGTATGGCTACAAGCACATAACATAATTTATAAAGAAAACTCATATGTCTAGGGCCAAGCATAACCCATCTTCGGTTAGCATGGATCGTCTACCTAACTACATTAAACTAAGGGTGTAGTACGACCTATCCTCCCTTAGCATGTCCTATCAAACCCCTAAACATATGATCATTAAGCACCATTGCATGATAAACCTACCCTATAATCATAGAAAATAGAGAGGTTGAGATCAATTATAAATCCTTCTTCCTAAGACAAGGTAAGATATCAAATATAATTGAATTTAAGCATTAAATCCCAAAATCAAGGTACAACCATTGTTTTGCCCTTAATCATGCAATCATCTTCCAATAAATAATCCCAATAAAATAAATAACTAAACTATTGGAGTTAAGATTAGGTTATTTCAATCCCTTAGAAAGAATTTAGTTGCTCATGGAGAAGGAAGAAGACTTCATGGATGTGGAAACCTCCATCTTCATCTTCTCTTGCTTGATATTGTCTTTGAAAACTCCTCTTTAACTCTGAAGAAAGTCTCTAAACTATACTATCAATCCTATCCTTTCTTCCTCTAGTTGTGAAGAAAACCCTATTTTTATAGCCCTTGAAATCACTCCAAAACAGAATAGGAAATAGGAAATTTGCCAAACTCGGACTCTAAAATTCGTGTTGTCTTACGGCCCAGTTTTGACATAGTAAACTTCCTTTTCATGAAATTTTCGTGAAATACAAAGTTGTAGAGCTTCGAATTTCTCTTCAACCGCGCTGAATTTGAGCCATTTTGACACTCACAGAAGGAGATACAGCCGGAATACCAAAACAGGTCCAGTTTCCAAATCAAGAAAGAATTTCCTAGTTGGAGAAGGATTCTTCCTTTTCTTCTTGTTTCCATTCTCATGAACTTGTGACTTCTTTTGGGCTCTTCTCCAAATCTAATTGAACTATCATAGCTCAGCCCAATGAATGTGATCTTTCCCTAATCTCTTGGATATCATCTTTAAAGCACAAAACCCATGGTTTTAATTGACTTCATAATTAAGGGCCTGAAAATAAGAAAAACACTAAAACAACATAAAATCACAAATAAAACTATTACTAAGAGAATAAAATATTCAAGTTAAGGGCTGAAATGTATTAACATTTCAGTGCTTATCAAATAGATTTCAGAACTTGATGAGGAGAGATCTAGCATAAGGCAGCAAATATTGGTGCATAAACATGGTTGCTGTATTCATGGTTGCAAGTTTATGAACATGTCCCTTATTTGAGTCATTCTCCTTGTTTTTTCTGTCACCTTGAACATAAGTTATCTGGATGGAGGATTATATGTTTGGGTCACAGAGGTGGCATGCTTTTACTTTTGAGGTATTTTCATGATGAGGAGTCTGAAAGTGGAAGTGGTGCATTTGCTAATTGCTATTGAATGAAGGAAATTTAAGGATGTGACAGTGAGAGTAGAGTCCTAACTAAATAATTACAGTTATATCTGTATTAAACCAGAATGCAGCATTAGCATGAATATATGTACTCATACTTTAGTTGAACCAAAATATTAAACACTAGATATACATTATCAATCTTATTTATATATTTTTGTCTCCGGGATGCAATGGCAGAGCCACATGGGCTCTAGCTGCCCTTACTGAAATTTTTAAAAAGGAAGGGTGAATCCATAATATTTTTAAGTCGTGGGGTTTATGAATATTTGACCTCCCTAAAATCTCTGAAGAAAGTGAGGTCAAATTTTAAATTTGAAAAGTGGTGGAAATTTTTCTTAAAATGCTAGATTAAAATCATAAAATTCTACCTACCAAAATCAGAGAAAAGAACCACCGGACCATTGGCATAGGTGGTGTAACCTCTTCCCCCAAAGGGGTGGTGAGGGTTTGAGCCCTAGATTGTGCATTTGTGGTTGTGTGTATAAATATTTACCTATCCAAAATGAATAAATAAAATATCCCAGAAAAAAGAATAGATTGAAATCTTTTTTATTTCATCGTCACATTTTATCCACTTCTCTATCCCTGTATTGCCACATTCCCTATACTACAATTAAAAAATGAGGAGTTATTGTTTTAGTCCATAATCTTGCAGATGAGTAATGAATGTCTCATACAGCACTTTCATCTCATAAAACAGAAAAGAAATATAATTGATACCTTACTAAGCTTAGCAACTATTATATACCACATCTAGCATCTTCTTGTGTTTGAGATGTAGAAGGGTATTCAATTTCAAGTCAAATCAAAATCTAAACAATAAGATTTTAGAAAAATATACAAGTAATCATTCTTTTCACCTAAATAAATCTTATAATTTTGTACTTGTGGAAGATGGATTGTTATGTGTGCATCAAATGTGGATCATAAATTGCTTAGTGTCCCAGGTACTGCTTCTGCTTATATTTAATATATACTTAATTGTTAATAATACAGATCTTTTTTGCAGTTGCTGCTGTCTTTAGCTTGGCTTATAAGCTCCAACCTGCTATTATATTCATTGATGAAGTTGATAGTTTTTTGGGTCAGCGACGCACAACAGACCATGAAGCATTAGCAAACATGAAGACAGAGTTCATGGCTTTATGGGATGGTTTTACCACAGACCGTGAGTTATTCACTCTCTGAAAGGCAGTCATAGTGTTCTATTTACTGTTCATCTATGAACTGGACTTGTTTCCTCTCTAAAGTGGCTGTCTGATTGTCATACTGTTTAAATCACATACTGAATAATGGATCTTGTATGATGGTGAAATTGTTTCTTTTGTTCTCTAGTTAACCTAGTTGGGACAAAGCTTTTGGTTACGGTGATTTATTTTGTTGCAGAGAATGCTCGGGTGATGGTTCTTGCTGCAACTAATCGCCCATCAGAACTGGATGAGGCAATACTTCGACGTCTTCCTCAGGCTTTTGAGATCGGGATACCCGACCGCAGAGAGAGAGTTGAGATACTGAAGGTGATTTTGAAGGGTGAGAAGGTGGAAGAGGACATAGACTATGATCACATAGCCGGTGTATGTGATGGGTATACTGGATCAGATCTTCTTGAACTTTGCAAGAAAGCAGCCTATTTTCCCATCAGAGACCTACTTAATGCTGAGAAGAATGGGAATTCATCTCCTGTTAGTATTCTTATCGTTTTCTATGTTGCACTAATTAGTTTTGATTTTTTTCTTCACTGTTTGATATCATGCTACGTTAAGCAAACCCTACCACTTAACAATAAGACAATGATCAGAAAGATTGCATATGACACCAGTTTTGGAAACTGTGATCCTAATTAGTATGCTGCAACCCATCTTTGATGCAGAGGGATAATGGAGTCCCAATCACCATGCTAACACCTCCCCCCAGATACAAATTTGTCGTCCCGTAAAATAGGTCTGTGAAATAGGTGTTGCCGGTGGTAGAGTAATAACGCTATGGTGATTTTTAAAAAAGGTGGGCCACCAGAGATGGAGGAATTGTGAAACTCTATTTTTTTTCCTTATATATTAATATTAAATAAACGTGTTTAGGTGACCAATAGCATTACAAAGAAGTCGTCAAAAATATCATTTTCCTACCTTAATTTCCCTCCTCTATATATATGTATACCTCATTGCATGCGCCGTGTGTGTCTTGCCGAAGTTTCTCCCCTGTCAACTCTATTCAACATAGCAAATGGATAATCGTCGTCTCACGTTTGCTTTTGTTATCATTGTGAGCTTTCTTGGTATGCTTTGTTCTTTTACACAAACTACCATGATCTGAACTGGTTTATGATCGCTTCGATGATCCCTACGATCATCTTTCTCTATTTCGGGTCTGAACTTGATGGTTAATTTTGATGGTTAATTTTGATTTAATTGTGGCTTTCTGTTTTTGTGTATGTGTGTTTGTTAGTTGGTGTACCTTGATAAAGTATTTGGTACCATCTAAACTTGTCCCTCAAGAATACTTCTATTTCTTCTTAAGCAAATTTCTCACCCTCATCCTTGTAGCTCCTCACTCTTGCTATGAAGCTTCTTGTTTACAAATAAAACTCTAATCCTATTTATAGCCATCCTAGCTCCGAACTCTCCACATATTCTTTCTAATCTTTCCAGAATTGTCTCTACCCTCTACAATTATCTACAATCACTCCAACATTCTAAAATCTTCAAACTCTCCTAACAATATTCTACAATTTCCACACCAACGTGGAAGGCTCTAAAACCCCCATTCTACTCTTACCATGCATCATCCAAACTCTCCCAATAATACTCTACAATCTCCACATCAATTTGGAAGATTCTAAAACCCCATTCTACTCTTACCATGCATCTCCTAAGAAGTCGCCATCAATCTGGAAGACTCTAAAACCTCATTCTACTTGCATCCTGCTCGATAGTTGCATGTCTCCACTGCAAATAGGCAGGCGTGAAACTTATTAGCATACCCTTGAGCTGTTACTCATATATTACAGGATTCCAGGTCTTACTAAAATTTTTGGTTCATTTTGTACTCTCTTTTGCAGGAACCAAGGCCATTGTCACAGGCAGATCTGGAGAAAGTTCTTGCCACGTCAAGTAAGACAAGGGTTGCTGCGAGTGAGTACACTAGGTTAAACTCTCAATTACCAGTGTGGGCAAGGAATAGTGAGCCAGATGATTATCAGGTCCAAGCTGCAATCAACGAGGTCTCTAGGATTGTGTTTTCCCAACTTTTGAACATTCAGTCAGATGCTCAGAACAATTGAAGTTAGTACCTAACCACAATGCGTATGAATTATGAACGAACTTACAGATTTTGTGATCTTTTGAGGCAGCTGATTGCTTTCTGTCAACCCTCGACGCATTCAGAATATTCCTGATTGTTACAAGAGCTTCACTTTTGATATAGCATAAAAAATTATGACCCGACACTTAATTATTATAATATTATATTGTACTTTAGGTATCTCTATATATCCCTATGCACTATGTTTTGATTCAGAACGATAAGTATTATCAAGTAGCATTGTCTTTATTTGATAAGGTTATTTTTAATATAGGTTCACATTGTGCCATTGCAGTAAAAGCTTGAGCTAACAAGTATGTGTGCAGCACTTTATGTAAAATATTGTCAAAGATTGTTTCTTCCTGCCTAACACTTGGCATAGGTTCTATGGTACTAGGTAATGGTCTTTTTATAATTTTAAATGGTGTAAGTCTTGTGGAATTGTTTTCTATGTTCTTGATTGTCTCTTAAAGTCTGCAGGTGGATATAGCATTTAAACATGCTTGCTCATTGCACACTGTCTGTCTCTCTATTTTCATACCAGTTTTATTTATTTATTTATTTATTATTATTATTTTTTTGGGGGGGAGTTCTCCAACAGTCTGGAGTTGAGCAGTGATGAGTTTGCTAATCTCAATTACTTAGTTTAGTAATAGTGGCATGTTTTAATGTTATGGTAATCTTTACCTTTTTCTCCGAAAGAAGAAAATTGAACTTTTTTTTTTTTTTTTTAATCTTATTCATCTTTTCTTTTTCAACTGAAACTTTGATCATGATGTGTTGTTGTATGCCATTTTAATATCCTTGTTAAAGCCCTGCTGATAGGTTGTTAGTTGTAACAATTATGCCACCTCCAATTTATGACATTGAACACATTTGACAAAATATGATGCAACCATATTATACAATGGCAGTTTATCATAATCGAATGTTGGATATAAAAAAAATTTACACATCATATGTAGCAAGTGTTTTAACAAACTGCGAGAGATGTTAGTTTTCAAACAACTCTCAAAATTTGGATCGGTTATTAAAAAATAAGGAAAATAGGTTATTAAAAATAAGAAAAATAATTCTTATATCGAATAATTGTCGGACGTACTATTTTTTATTGGTCATCTAAGATAGATCTCTGTATTTTTAGTATCACTGCTCTAAAGTAATTGTTTGGTATTTAACAATTATATCGCATTAATACTAACTCTAAACATAGTGCCAAAAAGTAATAAGCTGATTACATTGATTAATATTACAAATATATATTAGTGGTAATTTGAATAATATTATTCTTATATACATAGAAAGTAACGCAAGCACGCTAAAAAGTAAAAATCAAACTAAAGGTCGAAAGAATTTATAATTGGTGGACAAAGGCAAAAATAAAATAAAACATAGGCAAATTATAAATACTCCGTAGTTTTATTCTTATTTTAGTTTTATCTTTTAATTCATTTTGTGTGCTGGATGACAAGATAATGTGAGGACTTTAATTATATGGGACAAATTTGCATGTGACAAAAGCAATTATATTGTAGAGAGAGGAGTGACTTGAAGCTTGAAAATTGAGAGTCAATCGTGCCTTTTAATTTATTAAAACTTTCAGCAATAATAAAATCACAAGTTTTTTAATTCAATTGTTGCCATTGTTTTCTCTTAATTATTATTGTGTTATAGTTCACTTTATCTTAATTAATTGTTCATAGGATAAAATGTCAAAAAATTACAAGAAACCTGAACTACAACAAACCTTTTTGTTTTTGTTGCATTTTATCCCATTGCGTCATCTTTCGGTACTGAAAAAGTAAAAGACCAATCTACCCTTACACAATTCTACGCCGTTTTAAAATAATATACTGAATTCAACTCTGACCATCTACTGTACATATGTTGGTCACCATACAACCAAATCACAGTAAGCAACTGGAAAAGGAAATTGTAGAGTGGGAAAGAGAAGAGACCAGAGACAAAAAAAAAAAAAAAACAAAGACAAAGAAGAGAAAATTTCAAAGAAAGCGTCCACGGCAGACCAGATGGAGAAAATCAAAGATGTTCTGCACCTTCGTGCTGGAGGGCGGTTTTTGGGCACCTCTCGATTCGTGCCACCTGGACCTTGGTGGTTCCGGCCACCCTGGTGATGTGGATCATGGTGCTGCTGACTTTATGTGGGTAGCCAAGGAGGGCTCTGGTGGTGGAAGCGAAGAAATTGACGGCTAATAATTCCAGGACAAATCGATATTGAGAGGAGTGAATTTGATTTGGGGACTCAATTTTGGGATTTGAGAAATTAGGGTTCTAAAGAACTGTGATATATATATATATATATATATATGTGAATGTGTGTGTATATATATATCAATGCAAACTCACAAAGCACAACAGAGTAACAAAACCAAATAGAGAGAAGGGAATTTTTTGCATTGATGATACGTCGTAGGACATATATGTGTTACGTATGTGATTAATTTGAGCTGTAAGCCTGTAACACATATATGTCCTGATCACCCTCTCGCAGGTAAACGACACCACCTTCTTTCTTGCAAATTAACCAAATACTACAGCTTGCGCGTCTAAGCTACAAGCCTATAATGGTCACTTTTACCATTTTACCATTTCTTCTTTTTAGTGATAGTTTTGTGTGTGTGGGCGAAGTAATGTGTATGCATGTAACACAGATAAAGACAGACTTTTTAATTGAAGGTAGCAGTAGCATTGGCTTCCTATTAAAGTTTCTTTTCTGTTCTTGTTAGAGATTAATCATACTCTTTCAATAAGTGATTGGGTATTATCACTTTTCCAAAAAAAAAGAAAAAAAAAAACACTACTATATAAATCATAAGACAAATTGAATAGAGCATCTAGTCAATTAACTGATTAATCAAATGTTAACCGTCACCCACTTGCAATCCAGTTTTAACCTACCAAAATGGTCTTTTATCTGATTTATAATAGGTATATATTCATAGGAATTGAGACACTCTTCAATAAAAATAACATCAAACTCTCCTGAAGTTTGTATCATCCTTGACCCATTTATTTGGAAAAGTAAAACTAAATTGAAGTTTTACCAAGTGTTTATTTGATTAGATGAAAATAAAAGAAAGTAGAATGAAAGTAATAAAAATAAAATTTTATGATTTATTTGGTTAGTATTATCTGAATTGTCCCTATCTTTATTAAATATGATAGTTGGTCTATATAATTTATATTTAATAATTTTGTTTATCTTTTTTAAAAATAAAATTTACCTGTCATTGAAACTCTTAAACAGTTTAAATTTCATCTAATCAAACCGAGCCAAATGCCTTTATTTATTTATTTTTTTAAAATACTGTAACAATCTAGCTTGAGTCAATTATTTTTCCGGTAAAAAATATAATTTTATTGTGTATATATTACCCAAGGATATAATTTTAATGTGCTACCGACCATCAGAGTGAAGTGGGGCTAAAATCACATCGTGAATATTAAAGGCTTAGAACCTCGAAAGCCAGTTATTTCTCTACACCGTGAAGTATATGTTGGTTTAATCTAAAAAATTAAGCTAACTTTCCTGAGGAAAGAGTTGATGAAGAAAAAGTCAAAAATAAAAATGCTAATGATGAAAATCTATTCGTATCTAGCCTCAATGCCACACAAAAAAAATATATAGTATCTTGACAGTGGTTGTAGTAACCATATAAAAGGAGATAAATTTATTTTTGTTAAACTTGATGAATCTGTAAAGTTTCGGATGCGTATGGGGAACGACAAAAGGTGCAAGTCCAAGGCAAAGGAACCGTTGCAATGAATATAAATTTTGGTAAAAATATTGGTTGATAAGGTTTGTATGTTCCAGGTTTGGCTCAAAATTTGATCAGTTTGGGACAGCTACTCAAGAAAGGTTGTTTGGTTATGTTTGAAGATGACAGATACATGTTGTACAAAGGAGATAAAAAATTAATATTGTTTTTAAAAATGTCTGATCGATACCAATATTTATCCTCTTGATTTTTCTAAGCTCAGGGATGAGGAGGAGAAGAAAGAAGTGGTTTCATGCACTGCAAAAATAACTCTGGAAAAAGCATTGAGAATTCAAAAGATAAAAGAAGAAACCAGTGGAAGACAAGCCTGAAAAGACTGAAATTTCAAACAAAACAAAGCGTGGAGCTTTTAGAAACACTTCATTCTCTGCCCCAGTCATCATTAGTTTGATAAAAAAAAATGTATTAGAGAAAGGCTTGCCTCAATCAGCCTTAGAAGAGCAAATAACTTGGGGAGAATTGATAAGGTGGAGGATTTGTAGAAGCTATTCACTGAGGGTTGCTGCTTTGCTAATCGTCATTTCTCTATCAGTATTGTGTTCCATACTATTTTTTGAGCTTGCTTGTATTGAGCCCTTGGGCTTGCTTTCTGCCTTTGGCAGTTGCTGTTGTCCTACTTGGACTTCTTCTATATTCTTTTACATATTAATTCAAATGCTTACCCTTTAACTTAAAAAAAAAAAAAATTTGTTGGCAGAAGATTCAAAAGAAACACTAGCAGAGAGCGTGGAATAAATTTGAAGACTTACCCTAAAATTTGTTAAAGTTGTTTGAAAATTTGAATTAAGGGGAGTGTTAAGAAGTTAATTCAAATTTAACTTCGTAGATATCGTAAATGTTATCTTGACAGTCAAATTTTTTAAATTAAATAAAATGATTGATAGATTTAGATTATTAGAGTTTAAATAATGGTTGTTACCATTGAGATTACGTTATGTTTATTTAGTGCCTATATAAATAAAGTGTAATCATATTGATATCACTTGGCGGCGGAGTCAGGATTTTAGTTCAGAGGGGACACAATGTACTTGTTAAAAAAAAAAAAAAAAATTAATAAATATGACAATATATATATATTTTTTAAATCAAAAAGGCAAATAAGAAAAAAATAGTTGTAAAATAATATGCTAAATAAATACCGTAAAAAAAATATAGTTACAAATATAAAAATCAAAATATTAATTAATAATATTTTAATTAAATACAATCACAAATGTCATCGATAAAAAGAAATAACTTTAAAAAAAATAGAAAAATACATAATTATACATAAGCGAAAAAAGAAGTTTTTTGAAAAAGGAAACAAAAATTAGAAAAGGAAAAATATAATGTACATTTGAAGAAGGAATATATGTGATTTTTTTTTTTTTTTCAAAAAGAAATTAAAAGAATTTGAAAATTTGAGAGGGGCATGATTTAAAATTACCATGTAAGCATATATATATATATATATTAAAAATATGTACTTATATATAGTTAGTTGGAGCAGAGTGAGAGCGGGGACGTGCCCCTGGGCCTTAATTGGCTCTGCCCCTACTTGGCTTTCCATTTTCACCCCTTATTTTTGTCTGCATTTCAGGTGTTGAGAGATTGTTGCCTGGTAGCACTGTTGAAG